TGGTCGAGCGTTTCCATCGGCAGCTGAAGGCAGCATTGATTGCTCACGGTGATCCTCAAAATTGGACAGAGCATCTCCCGCTCGTACTTTTGGGGATCCGATCTGCAGTGAAAGAAGATTTAGGCTGTTCGACCGCCGGAATGGTTTACGGCAGCCCTCTCCGATCCCCTGGTGAGTTTGTTGCTGGGCAAAAGGAAGCAATAAAAATAGACCCAACAATGTTAATCGTTTACGCTCCTTTGTGAGACATCTTAGAGCCCAACCCACGCGTTTACATACTTGAGCAGCACAAATCTCCCCAGTGCTAAGATATTGTGACTTCGTTTTCGTTAGGGTTGATCCGGTGAAGAAACCGGTACAGCCACCGTACTTCGGCCCATACCGCGTTATTTCGCGCCGACCTAAATATTTCGTCATTGACAAAGAAGGTGCTCAAGATGCCGTTAGCGTCGATCGACTAGAAGTAGCGCACGCTGATCCCACCGTATACTCTCCTATCAACCAATCTCAAAGTTTATCTACGCTTCTGCTTAACACGAACGATATAGCAACTCAAAAGCCGGATAACTTACAGCCAGTTGTTCATACTCGTTCTGGTAGAAAGGTGACTTGGCCAACGAAGCTGCACAGTTACACATCTTAGTAGCGTTCCTTGTCAAGCGTTTATTTTGTTTATGCGACGCTCTAGGGCGGAGTTTTATGGTGATCCTTCTGACCGTTGTACATTAGGACTTTCTTTGTAACTTATCATTACTCAAATTGTGCCACTTTCTATCTCTCACTAAAATCTCAGCTTATTCCTCTTCTCTTCATGCCGAATACTTTTTGTTTAAATGAAAGCAAATAAATACAACACAATACAAATTCTGTACCTCGTGAAAGGCGTGTTCCCTTCTTGCTGTGTCGAGTTACGCTGTCAGCGAATTAACGAGCGGTGATCTACCTTTCAGACTACGACGGAATGGAAAGTATCTAGGAACATATTAAGGAAGATCCCAGGAAGGAGATCAATTTGGATTTATTGTGGTGGTAATTCCTAACTGTACCAATGAACTATGAGTTTTAAAATCTCGCCTAATTTAACTCACTTGTTTTAACTACTTTGAACTGGTATTTGCTAGGGTTATCCACTACATAATTGGTGAGCCCAAATTTTGTTTCTCTTCCTTATATCACCTAGAACTCCCGTTTTCTTTTTTCTCATTACTATCATGTCTGACTCAAACGATTCACCTATGGACCCGCAAGATATTTTGAGTTTAAGACTACCAGCTTACGGTATTCATCATCTTAGACTGTGGTTTGCTCAGGTAGAGGCAATTTTTGAGTGCGGTCGCGTTAGATCACAACAAACCAAGTATAGTTGCGTTGTCGCACATCTCCCACCTGAAATCGCCGTCGAAATTGCTGACATCGTCTACGAGAAACCCGATGTAAACCCGTACGATGCACCAAAAGATGCTTTGATTAAGAGAACAGCAGCCATAAATACTCTATTGAGCATTCGCTGAATCCCCTCCAAACGACATATGGACGCACTTTTCGTCATTCAAAGGAAGGTGCCAATCCAGCGATCACTACTTTGCAGCGTCTACATCCATTTGGAGGGCATTAGCATTGGAGCCCCATGATTTCAAGTCGTCCGAAAAAAGTAGACATGGAATTGCAAGAACATTTGGGAGGTCATTGACGTAGATCCGAAACAGGAGTGGTCTCCTGATGGAGCCTTGAGGAAATCCAATGGAGACCGGCGCTGGAGCAGAGTAGGTCGAGCCTATTCTCACTCAGGATGACCTATCCGATAGGAACGCCTTGATCCTGCGAATGATTTTCCATTGAATCACGTAAGACTCGAGTTTGTGGAGCGGCGGGCCGTGTGGGACCCTATTAAATGCTTTTGAGAAGTCGAAAAATATGACATCCGATATGAGTCCTTCGTCCTTGGCTCGGGGTAAGCTGTACAAAACACGAGCATATTTGTCACGCATGAGCGGTTTTGGGGAAATCAGTGTCTAGCTGAAGATATCCGATTGCTGGAAAGAGCAGTTTGGTGGTCTAGGGTAGCTCGCTTCAGAATGCGTTCCATCATTTTGCACCGCAGGCTAGTGAGGCTTATGGGCCTATAGCTACCAGGCCACAGTCGGTAACCAGTTTTGTAGATTGGCGTGACAGTCGCTTCCTCCAAGCAGGGGAAATACGGCCTTCGTCAAGCGACTGATGAACACCAGGTATAAATGATTTGCCAGTCTAGACGACGTTTCCTTCAGGATCCTTGGTGAACCACGTCGGGCCCCAACGCGCAGAATGGGTTGGTCTTTTGCAAGAGTTGACGAATGTCATCCACCGTGAAGACCAAGTCGGTTAGAGGCTGATCGTAGTGGCATCTTGACAATTGTGAGTGCGATAAAGAAGCTGAGGCTGAATTTCAGACCTGCATAGTGTTCCATATAAACCTCAGATAACATTATTGGGTAACTCCTGTGTCCTCGACTCCTGTCCCCAAAGGAAAACGCGGATGGCTATTTTCTGTGACGATGACTCATGTATTTGAACAATACGTTTTTGTTTTTCCGAGCGACGTCTATGATGGTGGCTTGTTTTCGTATGTTACATTGGCGGATTTATGATTTACAGCGGTTCCGCATTTTACGGAACGCCAGCTCCTCTTCTGTATTCCTGCAGTCAACTTTTTGAAAAAGAGTTGGGATCTTTTTTCCAGAAATCGCCGAATCCTTTTTGGCAGCCTGCGGCTTATCCGAGTGCGCGCTGATTTTTTTGGGACGAACATCGCGTCGGCCTCGTGAACTTTCTGGACAATTGTCCTATGTAGTTGTTCCACTGGAGCTGGTCCCAGTGTGACTTGTTCGAGAAAGATGCGCATTTATGAGAAGTCTGCACGGCAGAAGTCACGAAACCACGCTTGAGGTTCGGGATTTCTGGCCAGATAGCAGATGAGGTCAAAGGTCTGCACACAATGGTCGCTATGACCTAGTGGATAGTTAGTTCTTACCTGATCAGCGAAGTGTCCTTCGTTGGTGATGACCAAATCCGGGAGTGATGGTTGTTGCCCTGCGCGGTATCTGGTGGGTGCAACGACACGGTGAGTCCAAGCACTCTGTTGAACGACTTCAATCAGCGCCGCCGCAAAAGTCTGCTCGATTCGGCGCGCTGGAGTGCAATCCAGGAGGCCTTTGGGGCGTTGAAGTCACCTACTTGCAGGAGACGAGTGAAGTGGTAGTTGGAGGAGAGTTGCTCAAGAATTCGTATGAGAAATCGTTCATCTCCAAAGGGACCCGGGGGGGAATGGTAGGCCACACCAAGGAGGAAAGAATCGGACCCGCACGGCGGGATTTGGACCCGCAGTGCATCGCAGAAAGGTTCAGGAGTGGTATCAGGGAGGAAAATCGGGATTGGTAGGGCCGCATGTAAGTACAGAGCAACCCAACCAGCCCACCCTCGTTTTGAGTCAGCTCGAAAATTAGAGTAATCATCCATCGTCCAATAGCCGGGATGCGTGAGTCGTGTAGTTTCCTTAATACGAGGGATGCTCTCAGTATCCACACAATGGAATTTAATTTTCGAAAGCTACGATGTGTCCCAGATGGATGGAAAGAGACAGGAAACTGAGTTTAGAGTACGAGTCTGAAGTTTTGAGCCCCCTTTAAGCAACTCAGGGTCACAGCGATGTTAGGAAAGTATTCCACCACGCTTTTCCTCTAGTGTGTTATCGCTTCGGCGGGCAATGAAATTTGGTGAGCTGCGAAAATTTGAACGTAGATTAGGACGAATTTTGTTTTCAGCACACACGCAACAAACTGCAATATTCTGGGGCCGAAATTTCGTTTCACTCGCAAAGTTTTCGCAGCTAAGATCATTGTGCGGCTAGCGGACCCCTACGAGGGACGAAATATTGTGGAAATTTTACGGGCGGACATTTACACTTGGTTGTCAACTTTTTCTTCAGAGAGGAAGAACTTGCAGGTAACGGTGCACATACATGTTGGAACTTACGCAAGGCCGAATGGACACGCCAACAGCCATGAAGCATTCGGGATCTGGGCTGAAAGCGGGTGGAAAACATTCACTCAGAAGCCGGGGTAGAAATAAGAAAAGGGCTGCAATGAGCGGATACGCTTATCTGGTTTTTCCTAAGTAAGAATTTTTTATGATGGCAGGAGGACAGGACTAGAAACTGCATCTTGTTTTCAAGATCTTCTAGTTCGTTCTCACCGCTTGTGATGGACGTTTGCCGAATTTCCTTGGAACGATACAACCACAATTTTTGACACTTAGTGAAAGCTGTCATACCAGTGTACCTGCTGTGACTACTTATGAGACATGCGGGTAGGATTGGTTTTCTCGTAAATCCGCTTCATGTCTATTGAAAGGGAGATTTATTACGAAATTTGGGCAATTTCCTGCAGCATTTGTTTACATTGTAGTGATAGCCAGTGAGTACCCAGGACAGTCCAGAGAGACGCGTTCGGGAATAAAACGGATAGTCAGTTTTTATAAACAGGATACATATGAGAGTTTTGTTTCCATCTCCAATAATCTGTAACTGTTTTCAAAAAGCAACTACGCGGTGAACGCCTTCTTCCTTTCAACAGTACCAAGCGTTTTGCAGCGTGGATATCAACATGAAGAGCTCTAACAGTGGATTTCAAGATCACAGGTCGCCCACATAGATGCGTAACCGGTTTAACATCGTCAACACGGATCAGAAGACAGAGTCCCAATTACGGATTCTCCATGCACTTCACTGAACAGAGGTACTGAACAAGTGTAGACTGATCAAAATGTCACCCAGAACTTTCTTCCTTGTGGTGTTTTGTACCTTTCACTTGCTTTGAATATAACATCAGCAATTTCGTCAATTGCACAAACATTTTCTGTTTAAATACGAAAAAATACGTAAACGCGCATTGGTACGATATCACTTGATACAAACTTGGCCAGTGCTTCGACTGTCACTTCTGGTTTCGCTCGCGCTTACAGAGGTCGTTCACGAGTTTTATGTACTAACTCTTGTATCAAAACATTTCAGAATATCTTCGGATTTCATTATACGTGAGAACTTCTCAATAGAAGATTCATGAGCAACCATGAAAGGATTATTATTTATTTCCCGACCTGGGCCAACGATGAACTATTTTGAAGAGCAGAAAGAGAGTTGGCCTGTTCCATCTGACCTCTTCATTATTGTAAACTCAGTCTAGCGTCATTATTGCTATTCCTTTTCGACACGTTCCTGGTAAAACAGCTTTTGGGAAGCAAAGCCACTGCAATCTAAATAAAAAGGCGTGACCAATTCTACAATCTCCTCTTGAATCACGTAGGCTTCAAGTCTCTGGGTCTGCTGGAAGAGGGGGACAATGTCAAATACTTTTGCAAAGTTCCACGACCACAAGCATGGTTGCTACATACGAATGGATGCGGAGACATCATTTTGTTAACAACGAATCAGTTGAATTTACTGGCATCAAAAATCGTCATCAACAACGAGGGGCACGCTAGTGAGGCTGATAAGCATGCATCGGTAAGTTGTTGTTATTATCGGTTATCTTTGATAGAAGGAACTCTTGTTGCCTTTTCCCGTATTCGTAAGATTTAGTGGTCGAATTATGACATACAAAGACTTCATATCTAACGAAATCCTAGATCGTCCATGGAGGTCTTTGCGGTTACATTTTGAGGAAGAATTTGGACCCTTTTCTTCATTACCTGTGGTAGATGTGGTGGATTTGCTTACAATTGGTACAGTCAATTTTCCCCGCTGAAGAAGGTTGAGGTCCCAGCCTGCCAAAAACCTGTATTTTCGTAAGGTTTGTGCGGCAGCGATTTCAAGTTAACGGATGGATTTCAGCGGTTGTGTCCAAACAGAAGAGGGGGCAGAGGTCAGCAGACAATAACAAGTAAGTCCTGGAAAGTGACTATGGATCAACGGAAATTAGGAACCTGTCTAATGGATCAACAAAAGATGCAATCGGTGATGACTAAGGAAGAGCCGAACACGGAAATAAAAGCGGAACAGCCCTTTCTCTTCCTGAATTAGGGATCTTTGATAATAATAATTGCTATAATAATAATGCTTATTTCCCATCTTTTGAGTGGCATATCGTCAGGTATGATAACAACGTTGCAGTCAGAATAAAAGCATGACCGGCGGGGGGTGTGGGCACAAGAGGTTGTGAAAAGGGGCATCACCATAGAGAATGGGCATTATCCAGTGTAGGAATGATCACTATGGGATGGGCAGGGAGGCACAGTTACTATGCTTTATATGGAGATAATATTGAGCAAGAAAGCATCGTTGGGATTTGAAAGTGGCGGACGAAAAAGCGACGGAGGGCGAAATAAGAATCTTCACGTCTGAAACATGACAAGAAAAGTGTGACGGTGGAAAATGAGGAACCAGGACATAAGATCAGGTGACACAGCAGAGATGCTGTCATCCAGCCGATCGTGTTGAACTAGAACCTAAAACCACCACTGAGGCCTCGTGACCATGGATAGATGGGTTCGTGGCCAGGGTCACAAAAAGTGTAAATGGGGGTGACGAAATGGAGAGGTTAGCAAAGCGGAATAGCGTTACCAGGAATAACAGGAAAATGATGTACAGCGAAACTGTAGAGACTCATTGGTGTCGCTGTGTTGGAGTCGGGCATAATAGATCTTTGGAAGAGTGATATGATGGCAACACGCGAGCCGGAACACGAACTGTATAAGTAGTTATTGAATTTTGTGGGAAGCACAGACACAGTAACGGTTAAATTCGAACGGAATGTTCAACAGTTTAGGATGAATAGGTCATGGAGGCGGCTGGGGTCAGGTGTGGAGTTTGTCGTATTTGCAGTTAATGCAACAAGTGGGCGAGATTGTGGTCGAGAGAAGCAATTGAATGGTTGCTGGTGTGCTATCAAACTAAGTATGGTAGCGCCGTGGTAACATTAGCCTGACATGCGTCAGTTTTTATGGATAGATGCGTGGCCAGGGTCACAAAAAGTGTAAATGGGGGTGACGAAATGGAGAGGTTAGCAAAGCGGAATAGCGTTACCAGGAATAACAGGAAAATGATGTACAGCGAAACTGTAGAGACTCATTGGTGTCGCTGTGTTGGAGTCGGGCATAATAGATCTTTGGAAGAGTGATATGATGGCAACACGCGAGCCGGAACACGAACTGTATAAGTAGTTATTGAATTTTGTGGGAAGCACAGACACAGTAACGGTTAAATTCGAACGGAATGTTCAACAGTTTAGGATGAATAGGTCATGGAGGCGGCTGGGGTCAGGTGTGGAGTTTGTCGTATTTGCAGTTAATGTAACAATTGGGCGAGATTGTGGTCGAGAGAAGCAATTGAATGGTTGCTGGTGTGCTATCAAACTAAGTATGGTAGCGCCGTGGTAACATTAGCCTGACATGCGTCAGTTTTTGGACAGCCTCGTAACGGACGTCGTCTTTAAGACGACTGTGATGCGCGGTTTTTTGAGCAGCGGGATTCATTTCAGGCTGACCGAGGAAACAAGGCGGATCAAAGCCGATACGGGATCGCAGAATTGCTTTGGTCCGTTTTGGGACCAAAATGGACCGTGCCTGTATATCATGGGCCGAGTGGAGTGGAAAACATCCAACCATGTCCTCCAAACCAGGGGATACTGTCGAAGTTCAAAGCTTGATAAGATGGAGGCATGGGAGGTGATTAGAAAGGCATGGTGAGTTTGAGGAGACATCAAATGGGATAATGTGGATCAATATATATGGAATGAAAGACTCGACGTCTACCGCGACCACGGTGGTGATAACAACAACTCAGCGACCCCAGGGTTTGTGTGCTAGCATACGATATAAAAGTATCGTTTCTTGTTCAGCAACCTAATGTCACCGCCATAACTGTGGTAGACATTACTTTTTGCCCTATGAAAGGACTCTATCCTCTCTGATGACCCCTATAACTCTCCAGGTCCTATTGATTCTATCTCATTTCAACTAATTTCATCGTCCCAAGCATCAGCCCGTGGTAATACGTGCTATGGACGACCTGTTTGGAGGTTGTCCAATCCACCTGATCTTTGCACTACGAATGAAGGGATCTCCGGCCTGGAAAAACAGAAAAACGACAAAAACAAATACTACGCCCAATATTACATTGGTTTTGCCCACCCTGAGAAACCCCCGGCAAATGCATAAAATCCCACTGAGCACAGGACTGCGCATCTCAGTCTAACTACCTCAATCACGACGCCCGTCACGGAGCTGTCTTGA